TGTTTACCACATTTAAGACAGCTAACTTAAAATCAAGGCAAGTTGCCCAAGCTGTGTGCTAATAACACTCATTGAGTGTTACAGCATAGAGCACATACACTGTCACGACAAAGTTTTGGGATTTTTGTGTCTGTAGGCACATTTTCTTACCTCTCCATTCCACACACCAGCTTCTCAGAAAAGCAGAACTATTTCAGCTCTCGGATCACTGTTGCTCTTTTATGCATTCACTTTAAGTAGTTTAGATAATGTAACTGCAATGAAAACTAAGCGTATAAATTTGAGGCAGAGTTGACTAGTCCAGTACAGAAAAGCAGAGATATTGACAAGAATTGCACCTGCTCTCTATACTGGGAGACCTATCCCACCAGCTGCTAGTGCAAAGGCAACACTGGGATAAAATGGGTAGTAGCGTCAAAAATAATACTCTGCTTCATACTTTTTATTTAGAGCAAACTGGAACCGTTCAACATCCACCCACACAAGACTATGGAGTTAGACAAAAAGACTGTTTCCATTGTATTTTGTTACATTGCTGCACTCAGGATCCTAGCTTTCTTACTAACTTCTTCATTGGTGTCCTATTAATCTTGAACATCATTCAAGTAGATGCTTTGCCCTGCCCTCTTCCCTGGTCTAAGTCTGGTATCAATGTCTAACTAAACTCAAATATGCTTTGAATTTTTTAATAAAATTAAATACATACCAAGGATGCCTGACTGCAACAGATCACACAAAGATCTGGATCTTGCCATCAATGAGTTATATTACAAACTTAGCTATGACTGATGTGGTCAGTTTATTGCATTCTAGGCAGCTGATCCCAGATCCAAGACCTTGGGCTACTTTTACAATGCTAGTCAGAATCAATAATTACATTTTTTAGGCCTTCCCATTCTTGGCCTGCAATTCAGCACTAGCAGTAAGAATAAAGTTTACTCCAAGTAATAAAAATTAAACACATATAGACATTCATGTTTGCTGTTTCAATCCAGGAGGGATCTGCAATGCAAGTTTAAAACGGAAAACTATTTTCTGTTGGAATTGAGAAGTAAGCAAAAGCCATAACAGAAACGAGCCCTCCCTAGGTGAAGTGGAAGATGAGGGGAAAAAGCTAAAGAATCAGATGCTACAATTAAGGGACAAACAGACAGCATTTTTAAGTAATGTGGCTTATAAACCAAGAGGCTGGGCAATAAAACAGCAGAGGAAGCTCAGTGGACATAGGTAATAAGTGATGCACATGGGAAAGACCATTTAACTTCACATTTGCTGAAACAGAAGCTAAATCTTGATGGTAGCCGTTTCACTCAGATACCACCTCAGAGCTCAGCAGCTATCAGAAAGCTCATCAAGTGTTAGGCATTGTTAGTACAGGACTGAAGAACAAAACCAGAAGATACCATGACACTGCCTGAATCCTGAACGGCAGATGCAGTTCCGGTCCCCAAATCTCAAAGGGTATCTGAAGATCCAGACAAGGCACAGGAGGAGATAGCACAACGTGCCTACACCAGCATTTTGGCTCAGATCACAAGTGCACTTCTGAAACTCCTCTCCCAATCACTGCCGCTTCACACACTCTGATTCTCATGTCAGAGCCTTCTTGGGCCACATGAGTTGGATTCTCTGAGTAAATCTAAACAAGGAGACAGCCACTACCATACCAAATGCTAACTAGCACCCAGTCCACAGGACTAGGCTAAAGTCAGCTGATGCAGACCTCTGAATTGCAGATAAGCACAGGCATCGAGTTCCAATTCACACTACAAATCCCATCCTAATCCACCGTGCTGTTTGATGAGGGCAAAGCCAAAGCTGAGAGCAGGTGCTGAATATCTTGTTTATGGCAAGCACTAATAAAACTAGGACACGTCACTCTGGGGAAGATAAGACCCAATTCTTCTATATGATATGGCTCTGAAACAACATAAGTGGCATAGAAAAGGATGAGCAAGGAGGAACTGCTCGGGGTCTTTTCCTAAATGAGATTGAGGAAACATCCATCAGCAGAGGTAGAATGTCATTCATGCATCCAAGCAAAAGATGTTTCTTCACACAGCACCTGTTTAAGCAGGAGAACTCCTTGCTAACAAAGACTATGGATGCTCTAAGTTTATATGGGTCCGGAAAGAAACTATACAGATTCGTTGGGAAAAAGTCCATCCACGGTCATTAAATGCAGTCAGCAATGCTAGCTCTGGAAGCATCTGAGCACTTAGGGGATACATTGGATAAGTAAAATTACATACCCCCCCTTGTTACTGTCTTCCTTGTAGGATCCACTACTGGACACTGTCAAGACTACATACTGGCCTTGATGTACAAGATTTAGCCTGGCCAAGTTGGACTACTCTTGAAAATGGTGAGACAGGTGTGCTAGATGGAAAAGGAAGTAAAATGCACACCAACCCAAGAAAAGGGGATACAAACTTCGGTAACAAGCTACTGAAAAAGGGCAAGATTTCCTTGTTAGAAGCATAATGACAGGCTTCATCCCCATGCCAGCAAATGCAGTACAATTCAGTTTATTACTGAAAACTGTTATTCAGATGGAAACTTCTGCCATGCATCGTAACACAGCCTGCAACGCTTGCAGACTTACAGACCCTCAGGGGCAGGTCCAGGGAGACAGTTGAACTATGGGTCCAAAACACTAAACTTTGTTATAAACTGTCTAGGAAAGAGCCTTTTTATTGCCAGAGATCTGAAATAAAACCCAAAAGCTAGAGGAAGTCACTAAAACAGAAGGCATTTAAAACTAAAAAGGAATCTGCCTCAAGACATTCTTGTGCTTCAACCTTTCCAGTGTATTCCTCATTTAATCTCTTCTCTGAATTTTTACACTTGGCCAATAAATACCTCTTATTCTAGTACTCAGATAGGATTTATGATGCACTGCAAGTGCTGTGCAATTAACAGATTTAATGCCTGATTCATTTCCTTCTTCAAAGAGAAACTGGAGAAAAGCACAACAGGAGATGGCTGGGTACTATAGCTGTGGGTATATCATACATATACATGATATGACATTTCCTTTACCACTACTGTAAGTCAGCACATCCCTACTCTTCCTGTAGATATATCTGTTTAGATTCCCAACTATTATTCATTCTTCAGCTTAATCATTGAGGGGAGGTTTCTATCCTCAGTATGGATTTTTACACACCATCCCACATTTTCACCATCATTTATCAATTGCTTTTTCCACTCCATTTCACTGCATTTCTAATCTCATTTCCCCAACTACACTGTCTACAATCATAACATAGCAGTGACTTAAAAAAATTCAGTATGCTCCACTAATTTCACAATGTGTTAAAAGAGATAACAGAGGGAATACATTCTTTCCATCTCAGCGCAATTACTTTAACTTGCATATCAGAGACAACAGTACGCAGCTGAAGAGGAGGATAGGCATTTCTGTGGAAGGAAGTCAAAGCTCTGCGATCTTACACAGGTATTGACCAACTTTCAATAGGAGAAATGCCACCAACTCTTACGTGCAAGACCAAGCATTCACCTCTTCCACATTTTTAATTAGTATTTGGTAGATGTTTTATTGTGAATCATGCCTATAGGGCTTCATTCAATCCAGCAGCACATTTGTTTGAGGGATTATTACAGATGTATCGTACACTAATAAAACACCCTGCTCTGAAAGGAATTATAAACGGCACAACTTAGCAGCTTGCTTCCCAGCTGCAGTTTTAAGTTCTACATAACATCAAGGCTGAGCACAAGCTACCTTCACAAGCAATTAAGACAGATGACATGAAGTACCTAGCTCAGCCCGCAAGCTATACAAGACTTGGCTTTCAGTTTTGTTCAATTACTTTGTCCTTGTCTTTGGTAAACAAAAATCTGTGTTTTACTTTCTCTCTACCATACACTGCATCTGTTCTCCAAATTATACCACCCTAATCCACACACAGCAGCCTTTAGACCAGTTTTACTGTACGCTGAAGTAGTTTTTGACGAAAGATTTGAAGGTAAGGTACATAACACAAGCGATGCTCCCAAATAAATTCTACTGGGGAAAAAAGTTCTCTCTGAATTAAGTTTCACCTCAAACACACTCCAAAGCATAAATAACACTTCGCCTCATCCCATTAAAATTTCCTCATCCAATTTTACTTGCCACAGTGCTACAAGCCACTTAGCTTCTTAAGTTGTTGCCATTTCTGCAACTTTATCTCTGAAATCAACTTGAACATTATTTAAAGACTAGACATAGTCTAAATCTTATGATATCCCAACCTCATCTCTCAGCACAGCAAGAGCTATTCAGATGAAAACCCACTGGGATAAGAACAAAGAGGCAATGGAGGGGAGTCCAATATTATATCACAATGCCCTCAAATGCAGAAGCTCATCCGCATGACATGACACTTACTCCAACCATAGAAATATTCTCAGGCTTCAAATACTGTGTGCACATTAGATGCCTAAACACCGGAAAAAAACTGCTCAGAGTCCAATACTTACACCAGACCATTCTCAGGATTTCTTACAAAATATTTAACTTCATACATCACCTCTACTCAAACTGAGTAGCAACAGTAATTAACTTGATTCTGAGAATTTATGCCTTTACATGGAAAGACAACACAGTTAAACTTTCCAAGCTTCAACAGAAGCAAAGTACTACTTTTTCCATAAGCCAAGTTACCTTATGTAAATCGAGGTGGTAAAACACACTTATTCTATCGAATTTCTACACAAACAAATATTAAGTCATACAACAAGGGGTTAACACTTTTTGATAATAATTGCTTAGAAGAGTAGAGATCAATTTTAAGGTAAGTATCATTGATGGTTTAAGTATGTTTGATTCCACCTCTTGACAAACCTTTCAGGACTCTTGGTTATTGTTCAAATTCTGTTCAGAGACAGAACAAACCAGCTTCGAGACACACAGCTTTTGATTCCACATTTGAGATAATCACATAGAGTTAAAAAACCTCACAAACTAAACAAACAGAACAGAAGATACTCACATTCCCCATGTATTCTGAAAGTAGATCCTGCAAGGCCTGTCGCACTGCATTACACTCGGCAACTATACGTTCCCGTCGGTCATCACGTGTGCAGGATGAATCAGCCATCAGGGCTGCTCCGCTAATGATGCTCTCCAGGCGCTCTTCCAGGGAAGGCCTAAAACGTTCTTCGCTGAAGGTCGATGGATCCACAATAATTTGTTTCTAGTAAAATAAAGGTTTTAAAAATTGGTAATCAGATCAAACAGTAAGTTACTGTTAAGTCATCAAGACAATTGTTTACAGCAAACCCCTGATCAGGCATAAGAGGCATAAATACCCAACACACAATTTTGGCACTGAGGATGATTTTCATGAGTAGTTTTGTAAAATTACTAAAAGGTTCCCCAGCAGATTACATTGCTAGTCATTTCTTGTGCTGCTTTGACAGCTAAACAGAACTTGGCCACAGGAAGCCTCATTACATGAATGGCAAAAATCAAATGTGCCAGCACAAATAAAGTTCAAAGTACAGAACTCTTCTTAACTACATGTCAATCTGGACATGCCTTCACTAGTTAACTTGTCAGATATAATTACCCCATCATGAACAAAAAAAACCCAAGGAAAACAAACGTCCAAAATTAGCCCTATATGTAGTTGTCTGTTGTCCTAGTTTATCCAGTCTTTCTTCTCTTCACTGCTACACAGTTAAATACAACAGTATTCTCAAAAATTCTTAAAGTGAAACATCAACACAAACATTTCAAACAGAAGAAATCGATTTCTGTGCATGACAGAAAACTATAACAGGTTTGTCTTGACAAGAGTATTAGTAAGCACAGCTCATACTGAGAAACTTAAGGCTGAAACAGCAGCACAATCTGATTTTCAAGGGGCCAATACCATCACTCACAGAAGTTCACCAGGAAGAAGCAGTGTAGTATTTATCACCTTTGAGTACTTTCAGGTGGTTTAAACAAACAAGTTTGCAATTTATTAAGGAAAAAATATTTGGCCATTTCAAGGTTTTGTGGTTTGTTTAGGGTTTGGATGGGTTTTCTTCCCAATACTGGGGCAGGATGGGAGTCTAAGCTAAGTCTTTGTAAGAGAAGCCCCAAAGTTTTTTTTAAAATGGGATTTTTTGCCTTTTTTTTTTTTTGCCATTTTTTTTGATCAGTTTGTATACCAGATAACTTCAACAGCAACACCACAACCCCTACTTCTCCCACCAGCCAGCACATTTTGTCTCCCTATGGAGTAACCACCCAGCCTTTGCAGCAGAATTAGAACATGGCACATGCTCTCCAACACACTCCTCATTTTTCCTGAAACTTCTAGCTGTGTGGATAATACAATGGTAGTATGCTACAACTCCAGAACTGCACCATCAAAACCAGAAATAATTATTATCTTGTTCTTTTCTGGTAGTCATTTAATATTTTACCATCACAGAAAAACACCGGACTGTTTGGGGGTGTGTGTATTCAAAGCATCCATTACAAGAGCACAATAATACGCAAACATTAGCAGGGAATGAAGTGCAGGGATAACATCTGCCAAGAACCTGAACACATTTGCTTTGTCAGTCTCCTTTGGCAGGAATGAGATGACAAAGTTATCACACACAATGAGCACTGAAGCTGGCCTGCGGAACAAGCCCTGCTGCTATTAGAGCTTCACAAAGCAGAACTAAAAGCTCAAAAGCTCCATGTGAATGGCAACACTCAAAAAAAGTCTCCAGCCATATATTAGAGAGTTCATTTAGTAAAATATGGCCATATATCAGAAATCACATTAAATGGTTTGAGCTAGATTAGCCAATCCATGAACCTGAACTGAAGTGCTGCTTTAATTTTCCATACCTAAGTCAGTCCTAAACATCATGTGCTGTTACAGGACCTGCCTTCCCCTCCCACCAACACCTGCTCAAACCTGCAATCTCTTGGGTGCTAACCTGAGGCACACTCTTAAGATTTACAGAGATGAACATACAACTGATGGAATTTAAGAAAAGCAGACTCTGTAATCATAGTCACAAAGATCAAGACACCCATGATATCTTGTTACCCAAGAGATGACACAGAAAGGCTTCACACCAGGCACAAGGAGAACCCAAATAGTATTTTATCCTGGTAAAAGAAACGTGGCAGAGAAAGTAATGTAGGGGAGGAACAAGAGTGCCAAGAGCAAGAAGGAGGTGAACAATATCTGGCAAAAACCAAAGTATTAAATACCTTTTGCGTCACAGCTTTGCAATACTAAATAAGGTTTTAGAGACAAGTTAGTGCCAAGATGTTTAAAATTCAGAGGCTGAATCGGTTTTAGACACAGAATACTGGCTTCAAAAGGCAAGTGTTCTCAGTAAAAATGCACTGCTATCCTCAGTACCTTACTGAATGCAAGAAATGCAAGATAAAGAATATGACAGATCAGTACAACACATCAGCGTGAAATTACTTCATTCCCAACCAAAGATCGTATTAAACTTCCCACTTCATGTTCCTCTCAATAGGTAGTTCGGGCAATTCCAAATACATTATTCACTTTTAATAAGTCATTTCTGTCACCTACAAGAATACATTACATAAATATATTATGAAATAATCAATTTCAAATAAACCAAGGGCTTACATCTAACATAGCAGTAAGCTAACTGCTATTTCAGAGATAGTTTCATTTGACAGCCTTCAATCACCAAGAACCGCATATATAACTTTCTATATGCCATCAATCCTAGTTTGGAAAAAGACTGTTTAAAAAAGCCTACTTTACCTGGGACTTGGTGTATTTCAGTAGAAAATGATTTTTCAGACAGTATAAATAAAAGCAAGCTGTTGTTACTAAATCAGGTGAACGAACACAAGAGTTGGAGTCACCACTACTTTTTTTTTTTAAAACATAAAAGAGTTCAAAACTTACATCAAAATTGTTTAGAGCATAGGCCAGCTCTCCACCTCCACCCTGCTGCTGGGCAGCATCATCTGATGCAGTTGCTTGAGCTGCATTTGAGATGCCCGTGACCGCCTGCTGAAGTTGTTTGTAGATCAGGTCCCTGTTAGCTTTGTAAGCAGCTACATCAGGGTGCTGCAGGCAGGCCTGGGACGCCGTATAGAGAATGGGAACGTTCTTCTGCAGAATTCCTCTGGCTGCCGCCATTTGATCACGGTGGCCCACATCTTTCAACTCCTGTTAGGACAATTAACAAAAAAAAAGCATTTGAGAACATTCCCCATGTTTAACATGCATACACTCTCTCCCTGCATCTTTAAAAGACAGGCAGGTTCTTTGCCTAATATGCTCAAATCTAACTATCTTCTGACTGCATATCCCTATTCTTAACAGCTCAACTAATTTCAAAACACAACAGCTTTACAAAGACAAAAAAAAAAAGAAGCACTGTAGGGCAATTCACAACTCCACAATTCAAAATCTGAACTTGGATTTTTGCTCCCCTCCACAGTAGAAGACCAGCATTTTGAAAGCTGGTAACACCTGTAAATCAGGAGGATACATAAATTGCAAGCACACATTTTTCTCCCCACTCCTTCCAGTTTGCATTACATCTGAAAAAAAAAAAATCACAAAGAAACCTAAATCCTCATAACAGAATACCTTACATTTTTAGATAACTTAAGAACCAAGCTAATTTTTAACCAACCAAACAAGAAGCTTCCCCTGCAATGTCTTGCACTTCCACATGAGTAGCAAGATGTTCTTCAAATTAAACTCCAAGACTCAAAACCAGAATGTTTTCTTTAATCACACCTAGAAGATGAAGTTTACTCTCCTCAAGAGACGCAGGTAGTTAATTTTAGAAGAACAAGTATATCATCTCATTCAACTTCTTGTTCATCTCCAATGAGACGAAATTAATCCAATGACTGTAATTGCTGCTAATTTAAGAATAGCGGTAAAGTCCATATGTCTTTTCCCAAACTCTCACTGCTGCAATTCTCTAAAGCACCATCACCTCCTGTTTTGGAATAGAAGCACTAGGAGTAGATAAAGCTTCTGAGTCCAGCATGAGCAGTAAGTTTATAAAAGGAAGAACGGACACAGTCATTAGCAGTATCATAATTTTCAGGTTACCACTTAAATCTAACAAAGATGTGATGACAATGAAGAAAAGGACTGCCTTACTGAGAAAAGGAAAAAAAATCTGACAGACTCTTCAAAATGAATGGGTAATATGCGACCTCTAAGATACACACTAAGCAGGGAGGGCACTCCAAAGCAGGCTTACAGATTTACAGATTTTGTACAACCACTTCCCATAGTGCAGAACAATCCATCACAAAGCAGTTTAAGAACATTTATTGCATTGCCATCACAACCCTACTTCCATTTACTGCAATCAGATTTTAGATACATAACCAACTGGCAATCCATTTTAGGCTATAGCCAGTTTATTTTCAAAGATGAATCTGTACAAAAAAACAAGCAGTGTCAGAGGTGCATAAGCAGCTTCGGTTTGTACATATCAGCAGCACAAAGAGACAAAAAATGCCTTACAAGAATTATACTATTTCTGATAAATGGGACTGCCCACACCTCTGCTTTCTTTTGAAAGCCTACCTACACAAACGTGAGTCACAACAGTGCTGTTGAACAACACAAATTTTACATGCAATTTAAGGTGAAGCACAAGCTATCTGAACACAGAACACACAAATAACATACAGGATTTTAAACCCCTTCTAAACCAGGCATTTCATTGCAAGACTAACCAGCATCGCCACTTGCTTTCCTGAAAAGATTTTTAATTCTGTACCCAGCCATGACTTTTGCTCCCCATTTAAATAGGCACGCCTGGTCTCTTTGCAAACCACAACAGCAGCATGGTCTAGTGGCAAGTGCACCAGGCACCGAGTCACATCTCCATTCTCTTTCCTAACCCTAACCCTGCACTGCTTCAAAATGGGAAGTGCAAGTCTCGGGAAGCGGCATTTCATTAAGGCACTAAAGCATTAACTTCAACAAATGCTACTAGAACAAATTCCATCAGAAGCAGTACACTACAGCTGAGCAGCCTTTCTGCTCAGCAGGCAAGCTCAAGTTTCCTAAACATGGCAGAGTGCCACACAAAGTACTTCAGCAATAAAAGTAAAACAAAACAAAAAAAACCCCACTATTAGCAGCAATAGGTACTGTCCAAGAGCAGCAAGGCTGCCTTATTTTCTTATTTTGAAAAAGAAAAAGAAGAAACAATATACAGAAGAAAGAGCTGCCATGACTATACCTGTTGTCTTTTGGCTGCCATTATGTTAAGCTTGTCCACTTCTGGTTTGAGGGCTTTGTACTGGATACCTAAATCCTGCTCTGTGCCAGCGTTTCTTAGTTTCAAGATACCTTCTTCCACCTAAAGGAATATATATTCACATATTTTTTTTCAAGTAATACAGTCCACAGTTCACAAAGTAATTCTGAATGTTCTTCGTAGCAGACAGAAAGCAATCTTCCTCTGCTCCCTTTTATTTTTTGGGGAGAGAGACTTCAAAGGCTAGCAGTACTCAAGGCTTAGGTACTACTTCGTAGTCACCAGCTACCAGAGACAGCCAAGTACAGGCATTTGACAGAGTATGAAGGAGCCCAGGGCCCGGCACAGCTGCGGCAGTGGCCACTGAAGGGCACGAGGAGAGTCCTCAAAGCCCTGACACAAAAGCGGGCCCACTATCGGATCTCATTTCATTTCAAATTCTGTACAAGCCACCCACGCACCCTCTTGCTTGTGGGAAGAAAAGGCTTCCTCAAATATTCTACATTCATTTTATTTAGTCTAAAGAAGAGACTCATTCCTAGTAGCTACAGGGGAGTACTGGTTATAAGAAAGCCAAATTATTTCTTTAAGATAAAAAAAAGCTGGTTATCACCTGCAGTTGCAGACCATCGTGTGTTTAGTTTCAATACTAAGAGTTCAGAGTAAAGTGCAACACAATGTCAAAAGCTACTGACAATGAGGGTAAAAAGAAGTGACAAACATTCAGCGCACACACTTTGCTCAGAGGAAAAACCCCAAAAACCTCCCTGCTCCAGAAGCAAGCTGCTGACAGCGCCCACACCGGGGTCAGTACACACACATGAAACAAAGCCACTTGATAGAGCACACCTGGTGTGCCAGGCACAGCAAAGTGAATCGCAGCAAAGAACCACACTTACTACTTTAAGCTGAACAAGCAGCTTGTAGACGTCTGCCATGTCAGCCAAAATCAGCAGTCGAGTAACGGCGGAGAGGAGGGCGCGCGCCGCGCGGACCATGTTCCCTCGTTTCACAGAGGAGCAGGGATCATCTGCAAACTCCCCTGAAGCGCTCTTCATCAAGTCACCTGCACAAGGGGAGAAGATGGTCTGACTTTAACACCGCATAGCCCCATTTCTTGAGGGGCTGTAAGGATTCCTGGGCAAGCCAACCTAAGTCTTGAAAACAAAATGTATTTGCTTAAATACAGCCAGCAATTAAGATTACATGTAGCTACCTCTAAGTACGGTTACCACATGGTGTCCGGTAAGAGAGGCTTGCGTGGGGAGGACGGGCTGGGAAACAACACTTTGGTCCTCACTTCCAGCTATACAAGCGTTTTAACATGCCAGAGTCCTCTGGAGAGGCAAATTCAAGCATGCCTTTGTTACTCCACGCAGGACTGCAGTTATTTCATAAACTGCAATGCTTTCAAAGCTTAAGCAAAGGCTTTGATTTGTGTGCATGTAGGAGTTAAGCAGAAAGCAGCAGAAAGGACTGTAAACACACAAGGAAACACCACAGCTCATAGGACTGTAAACAACTCGGAGCAATGACCTGGCTGGATATGCCCCGGTTTGCATTCAAAGCAAGGCACCGCTTAGTTAAATGCTTCAACATTTCATAGCCTGTGGGTCTGCATCTGGTGCAGGAGGAAAGAATTTGGGTTTCAGATGGTAACAATGCAATTGGTTAGCTATGAAAAGCAAAGGCCACTTTACACAGCTAGAGAAATTCCTCCAGAAGGCATTCAGAAAGCATAAAAAGTGATGTCTGCATATAGCGAGAAGAGTAAATTTTGGATTTCTACCCTCCCTGTTTCTGGGGTAGCATTTTGCTTCCAGTACTGCAGTTCCTACACAGCAGCAAGTTTTAGAATCCACATTATTATTCTTGGATCTCTTTGCATTTCAGAAACATTTGGTGAACAGCTAGGATTCAGTTTAGAGAACGCTAATTACTGGAGGCCAAAAATTTGCAGGCAGCTGGAGATGACCAGAAAGCAGGTGAACTGTGTTATAACTGCTGTGTCAGAGGCTTCCCAAACCTGTATGAAGAAGTGTCGATGTGGCCAAATGACAAAACAAAAAAATAGCACGCCTTCAGACAAGACCCTCAGAAAGTGCTTCACAAGTGAAAGCTGACAGTGACTCCCACCAAGCCCACACCAAATGGGGCTGGGTGAGATTTGCACCAAAATCTCAAGATGAGGCAGTGGCATCATCCTGCCACCGGCCTGCCTGACACCATGGCTAGGCAACCAGTGCAGCAGATCCCCACTATGGGAAGCGTTTAAATTTTATTTTAAGGACTTTTTTTTTTAACTACTCAAATGACCTACGACTGGAGAACCTGGGGTTAACCATCCACATACTTACCGTTAAGCAATTAATATCTTGCCCTGGAAGAGTTTCTAGCACCCAAGCACTCCACACCTTTATAGCTAAATACAGCCCAAACACAGCTGCCAGCCTGTGCAAGCAACTACATCAAGATACTCAATTTGTTCAAATGCTCCCTCCTATGTAACACCCTTCCATCATCTTAAATAATATGACAAGGAGTAGCATACAACATTTTAAGATAAAAAATATACTACTTCTGTACTGTGACATATGAAAAAAGCTTCTGTCCAAGTACAGACCAGCTATAAATATCAATCTAAAGCTATCCCTCACCCAACTTTTTGAGGAACACAACTCATTATTTTAAGAAGCGTTAAGAACCTGGGATTTCCACATGGGTGAATGACGATGCATCTCCAATGCTGAAAAACTGCAACCAGCCATGAGATTATAAAACCCCTACATAGCTGACATGACCCTTTCTTTATTCCTTCTGGAGAAGGCTAACAATAGTAAAATTAGTGTCACTACCACAAGTATGAAATCTATTAACAACCTCAGGATTTAAGGATATATGCCAGAACCAAAATTCACTGCAAGTATTTCCTCCCTTATTTACTTATATGTAAAATTCCCACATTTCCAACTCCCAAAAGAAGGGAATGTTGTTTTCACTTATTTCCTATTTAAAACAACTTAAAAAGTGGTCACTCACTTCATCTGAATCCCAGACATTGCTAACAAGGTTAAAAACCAAAATTATATTCCACCCATCTCTCAAATTGCAACCTTACAAGCCAGTCCTGAAATAAAATGCTATTCCTTTTTATTCTAACGAGAGACTTTAAAAGATTTAGAGAGTTTCAAACAGCTTGTCAGTGTGTCAAAAGATAACCAGCTTCCCAGAATTAAAGGAAGATTATATTTAAAAGTCGTTGCATATATCTTTTTTTTTTCCTGCAGATTAAAGAAAGCTGGCTTTCAGACTTCTTTTACAAAGAAGAACCAACATGGGGTAGTTGTTTTAGCTAGATTCAAGGGGTAAAAGGGAACTCTGCCTTAGCCTAAATATGCAGTTACTGCATTACACATATGCATTAGCAGGTCAAATTGGATCTGGCATAATCTTCTCATTTTCAAATTTGAACCAGAGGTAACACAGCAAGTTTGAAAGCAGGATTTCAAGAGTTAAAAGAAATACAGTGCAGAAGAGTCAGACTATGAGACTCAGATTATACAGCTGGTACAAATTTTTAAATGAGTAATCTGTTTTTCCAATATAACCTTAGATTTTCACTAGATATTACAAGGGAAAGATAATAAAAGAGTCAAGAAAAGAAAAGGCAACAGTACCCATACTATGATCTTGTCAATAAAGCACTAAGAATTCAATTAAATCTAATGGAACAAAGCCCATTTCAGAAATAGTAAGATTTTAGTCCATCAAAAGAAAATTACCATTTTCTAGTCTCATTCTCACCATGCCCACGGGGTCTGACAGCACTTTCAGGCAGCACTATTAATCCTCCTCAGCAGCGTGGTACACGACGACCATGACAGAGAGGGCTTGCTTTATACAAACACTGACGGGAAAGCGGCAGAGAAGACAGGCAAGGCAGGGAAGACCTAGGACACACACAGACACCACTACTTTCCCCCCCCAAGCTAGAAATTCATGCCCGCACATCCCCTTGTACCCTTCAGCACCTTCCAGTCCAAAGCTCGTCTCTAGGCTGCTTTGCCAGCAGTATTAGAAACACCAAGTGTGCCATCAGGCCATACCTCTACCTGCTTATAACACCCTATCACTGGTCCCTGGAAGTTGCCTATTCCCCACCAAATGAAGGCAAGCATGAAATCAGAGTTTCAAGACTCTACTATTCTGGGTACTGAAGTCCTATCTTACTACTAATGCCACGTTCAATGTCCACCATGAGTGTCACAACAGGCTGCCCTTGCTTTCTACTATAAAGGACAAGGCCTCGTGTCAACTTTCACTATATCAACATGGGAGTTGATACTTATGGCAACGAAAGCTTCTGTTAATTCCTTAATCTCATCTTCAATTAAATCCATATTCTGCCTACAACACTCCTCCTACAGGTGCCAAGAGCCATCTCAGAGCTCCCTTAGGTTATGGATTTTTAAAGATCTCGAGTCCTTGGCTGGAGGATTGCTTCTACCACAAGTGGTATACTCCTAAAACATTTTTTGCAGGAAAAGAACTGAGGACTCTTTGCACCCTTCCAAGAAATTAAGCTAACTGGTCACAACAGAATTTTAAAGTTGAGTTTTCCAAGAAGAATTCAGTGTTTAACTTCAAGTTATTCTGCAACTGGCCTCCTCCTGTTCCTTGGAAAGCTTTAAGCCATGCATCTTGTGTGAAGTACAGTTGAAAAAACATTTTACCCTTTAATAACTTTTCCTCACTGTTCAGTTTTAGAGAAAGCTTCGCTCAGAAACACAGGGTGGAAAGACATCATGCTGAATCAATAGGTTCACTCCCCTGCATTTGCAACCATGAAACATGATCAAAGTCCAGAGGATTCACGAGACCATTCGTCCATTCTCTTACCTCAAACTTAAATCTTTTGGTCTTTTATGTAAAATTACCATAGGAAGAAACACAACAGTAAGAGCATAGCTAATACCCTGGATCCTCACACTAACATACAGATATATAGAGGCAGTGAATTATGGTCATCAGTACTCCAGGAAAACAGGAATAGCCTGGTCAGCCTGACCCGAAAGAAATCTCCTTCTTGACCCCTGAGCCAAGCACCTGGGTAAAAAAACTGGTTCAGTTCCAGAACACCTCCTAACAGCACCAGAAGAGCTGACAGTTTCAAGGTACAATCAGTCTTCAACACTTCCTAAAGAACCACAGCATGATCTATTCTGAAAAACACTTTGGTTCTTTGTCTTTACCTATTCTGTTCAAAATTTTAAAATAATGAAACTCTAAAAATAAAAAGTCAACAGTCCAAAGCTTTAAAGAGCCAGGAATCTTACTTTAGGATATTTCACGAACTTGTTTAATATTTAAAGCAAGTTGTAATTTATACTTCCATTGTAAAAAGCAGGAAGACTTTCAAGATCCACTTTGATTTAGTGTGTAACCATACTATCATTCATTCTAAATAGCTCTTTTCACTTCTTTGTTTTTACCCCCAACAAATGAGATTTTATGAACAAGTGTGCTCACTAAAATCATGTACCCTCTCAATAATCTTCTGGCTAGGCTAAAAAAAATTTTTAATTTTCTCCGATGAGACAAGTTATCTATTGTCCTAATCATCTTCATAACCTCTGTCTACATTCATTCATCTTTTTTTATTATGGTAACTAAACCGCTCCCTACTCTAAATAGAGGCATTATTAATTCTATTTTCCTGTCTTCTGCTGAAGATAAATTGCGCTATTCATCTATAATCCCACTGCTGCCGTCAAAGGCACACAGATGCTGCCAGTTCATGATCACCCTACTCCTGACCAAGACACCCAGATTTTCCTCTTCCCTTTTGCCCCCTGCTGCAGAAGGCAGATAAAGGCACCAACACCTGGAAGTTTTGCTACGCGCACACACACAGGCTTTGTATTACACTCCCCTCATTTCTCCAGTTCGTTAGTTTAACTGGTCTACAGAATCACAGAATCACTAAGGTTGGA